TTATGTATTAAATACCATAAAAAATACTGTAGAAAAGATGTCACTACTTCCTATAAGGCTGTTTTGTAAAATATATATTAAGGACTGGAAACGTGTTTTTAAAGAGAAGCATTCAAGTATGACAGTATGCTATCTGTGTTTTCACCATTCAAAGTGCTGTTTGGTAGTTGAAACTTAAAACTATTTAATATCTCATTTAATAAAGTGACCAAAATCCATAAAGGTGTGTGTTGTGCTCTTTTACTAAAATGGCAGGCCTGGCTCTGGCGCGGCAAGACCGATCCATACAAAACCAGCAGATACAGAAAGACTCTCGGAGGCATCAAAAAAGAGACATGTTGAATCAGACCAAAGGCTTACGCAGCTCTGGATTTTGTTCCCTCTGTGGCCATCTGTGAGGAAACCCAAAGTAAGACATCGGAGTGGGATTTCTTAATGGGAAGCCTCGCCACGCCATCGTTAACTAGCAATTGTCCCAGATGTTCCTAAGTACAAAATCTCAAAGAGTGCTGGAATTCAGAGGTAATGCATTTGTAACGGATTTGTGTTCACACTCCCTATATCAGGGGTAGGCAACCTAAGGCCCGGGGGCCGGATGTGGCCTCCTGAAGCCTTTGGACCGGCCCCAGGCCGGTCCTGCCACCCCCCACCATGATGATATTGATTATTGTTATTACTTGTTCTTGGGGTTTTCTTGGCAAAATCTTTTGCCATGGCTTTTCTGGGGCTGAGAGAGTGTGCATGCATTTTTTTTATTTTTTAAAAATATTTATTTATTTATTTTTGGTGCTTCGCCGCCCCCCCCCCCCCCCCCCCCCCAAAATTGTCTGAGGGACAGCAACCCGGCCCCCGGCTCAAAAAGGTTGCCTACCCCTGCCTTCCATCCTCAAATAAGGATGATCAAAGTCCACCTTTCCTGACTTCTCTGGCCATCATCGGTCACTGCGAGCGACAGGGGTCTCTTTTGCTGTCATTTCATAGAGTTGGAAGAGGCCTCAAGGGAAATTCAGCTGTTATTTTGTAAGAACCTACATTTTTCTTGGGCGTCCTACATTTTGCAGTACCTTGTCCTCCTTTGGGGAGGTTATGACCTGGGGTCAGAGGGGCGATTGTGGGGTAGCCATTTCGGTGTTGCACTTCAACTTGTTGGGGGACAAGGTTCAGATCACCACGCAGCCATGGTTGCTGGGGTGACCCTGGACAAGTCACACTCTCTCAGCTTCATGGGAAAGCAATGGGAAAACCCTTCTGTATAAATCCTGAACCAGCATGGTGTAGTAGGTCTAGTGCTGGACTTGGGATTCTAAGAGACCAAGGTTCGAATCCTTATTCTGCCATTTAACCCACCCCTCCCAAGACCTTGGACAAGTCACACTCTCTCAGCAACCTTAGGGGCCAGCAATAGTGGCAAACCAACCTCTGGAAAATAAATATTTCCAAGAAAACTAGGGATGCTGTAAGTGAGAGTTAACACATTGCAGAAATAATCCAGTTTGAGACCGCTTTAACTGCTCTGACTCGATGCTAGGGAATCCTGGGAATTGTAGTTTTGTGAGACTCGCCTTCTCTGTCACAGAAGAACTCTGATGCTGCAGTAAACTACAATTCCCAGGATTCCCTAGCACCGAACCAGGGCATTTAAAGCAGTATCAAAGTGGATTATTTTCTACAGTGCATTTTGGACCTCGAAGGTACAAAACAACCCCCCCAAAAAACCCAACCCTGAAGGAAAAATAAAGGGCATAATGGAAATGTTTTAAAGTATTTCCTTTGGAGAAAGTTCACAGTTTAGAGCAGAAAGCAATAGTGATGAGGAAAAAAAGCACAATTAGATAGCGATGGCAAAAACGAAAGGGAAATTATCCTCTCTCTCCCAAAGAAATACACAACAACACTTTCCAAAAAATAATTCCCTGCCTACAAAGGGATGACATGATTTAGTCCTTGCTCTTAAGTCCCATTGCTTTATTGCCAGAACTGGAGAGGGATGCTGAATTCGCGTGGCAAAGACTTTGGCCTGGGTTTTGCATATTTCGAAATTCAGGATTTATGGGACTTGGCCCACTCTTCTGGCAGCCTTTCTTTGGGGAGGAATAAGAGGGGATCCAAAAGGTAAAAAATGTAGAACTTACAGATTGGGAAAGCTTTGCATGGCAAGGGTTAGG